CTATTTCATAAATGTAGAGTCACACATGGCCATACTAGGACTTTCAGGCTGACACGGTTAATCTCGAGATGGCTAGCTGACAGATCAGTGGCTTGGAACTTCTCCAAGGCTCCTCGGAAGACAGGACTGGCAGTCTGCTTCCCAAAAGTCACAGCCTTAAAAAAAACCACCCCAAGGGGTGGGAAAGGAGGGGAAAATGAGTAGCGGATACCAAGGGCTCAAGTCGAAAGAAAATGTTTTGAGAATGATGATGGCAGCAAATGTACAAATTTGCTTGACACGAATTGTGATAAGAGTTGTACGAGCCCCCAATAAAATGGTTTCAAAAAGACGGCCCTGCCCCATGTTTATCATTCTGTTTTATCTCCACATGACTTGTTTAACCTGTTCTGGGACTTCCTATAATAGAAGCACACACTGTATGCCTCTCTCTCTGTCATCTTTCTCATGACTAAAGTGTTTCTTTAGGGTTACTTATGTTCTTGCTTTTGTCGGTGGTTCATTACTGTAGAGGTAAGTCTTTCTGTGTAAAACGATTAAGGAGAAATGAAAATTTCACTAAATGGGACTGCTTTCAGCAGATTCGTTTCACATACAATCCCCTTCTTGCACACAGGTTGTCCTGGTGACAGACGGCTGCCTGGGCATTGGCAGAGGGTCGCTGAGACATTCCCTGGCGACTCACAGCCAGCGAAGTGAGAGCAGCAGGTTCCCCCTCCCCTTTCCTTTCCCGTCGAAGCTGTACGTCATGTGCATGGCAAATTTGGAAGAGGTAATGGCTTTTATTAAGTTCTTCTTAGTTTTGTGAGGTTTCTCTAGTGGATAATACCTCAGTTCTTGGCTTCCCACGAGAAAGAATTCATGTCCAAGCTTGGTTTATAATCCAAGTGAGTTTTTATGAAGGATGGAAGGAGTTTCAGGTTTTACTCAAAAGAGACATGCTATTTCTGGGAAGCATGCCACACCACGCGGAAGCCACCCTGGGTCACACTGGACACAAGCAACCCCGTGGAACAGCGCCCCACATGCGGAACTGAGGCCAGAGAGTGCCGCACAGCACGAGTGGGCGCTGGGGCAGGGTGATAGAGAGAAGAGTGAATCCCCTCCGACCTGCCACTGACCAGGAGTGGTAAAAAGAACTGGCCTTCCTGCTGCCAGGCTATTTTACCTCTCAGCCAGAGGAGGCGTGGTTGAAAGTATTGGCTGACCCCACTTGCTAAATTAAGCCCACCTGGGTCTAGTTTGGGCTGCCCAGGTATACCGTCCACCTGGCTTGGGGGCTTGAATTGGAGCATGCCCAGTTCGGGGGGGCCTTAATGGGTGTCTAATGCTCACCTGAGTCCTAAACAACCTCCTTTATGGGGGCCCTCATGGGCATGGGAGGGATAACCCCCTGTCCCTATCCTGGCTACCCAACAGTTTGACTAGGTAAATACGGTTCAATTTACTTTCTTTCAGTACTGTTAATATTATACTACATGCACTATAACAATGTTGACCTCCATTGGTTTCAACCGAGTCTGGCCACTGAATTTATGAGGGGCCTTCAAAAAGCTCAAGGGAAAATTCCATTATGTTTCCATTCTATTTTTCCATGAACTTTTGGAAACCCGTTTGTCTTTGAAAAGACTGAGCTTCAAATGCTCCTTGAGCTTTCGGATCTCTGTCCCGTCTGGAGGGAGCAAAACTGGAATTGTGATCCTTCCTTCTCACAGAGGATTTTTAGATAATGAAGGGTTGAGATAGCCTCTTTGATGTAACTACCTAGGGGTTCTTACTTTGATTTCTCCAGGCATGCTGGCAGAAGTGGGCTGAGGGTTTTTGCTTTGTTTTGTTTTGTTTTTTGGTAAAGTCACATCACCCTGATGTATGTTTATTTAGTACTTTCCTAGTTTGCCTGTTTATCTGGGAGTCACTTAACCTTGTTTCGCCTCAGTTTTTCTACCGGAAAATGTAGGTCATGGTCGTTCTCATCAAAAGATGTCCCAAGCACTTGGGAGGATGAGCGGGGTCACCTCCCAGAATCTTTGCAAACAGCTCCAGTGGGGTCACCTTGTCTAAGATTCCTGTTTGGGAACCTTCAATCAAAATTGCTCTAGTTCTTGCTTTTCTCAGATTGCGCATATTAAAAAGAAGAATGCCTGTGTGGCTGTGGTGGGCACAGCCCTGACGGACTGGTCACAGCATGGCATTTGTGCCACTGTCGAGCGGCCGGTCGGTCATCTCTTTTGCCTTGTAGCTTCAGAGCACCGATTCCTTGGATTGCCTTGAACGTCTCATCGACTTAAACAACGGTGAAGGGCAGATTTTTACCATCGACGGCCCCCTGTGCTTGAAAAATGTGCAGTCTATGTTTGGGTGAGTGTGTGCGTTAGAGCTTTTTTGCCTTCTTTACAACCCAGTACTATAATTTGGCATCCAGCCAGCAAGAATATCTCTTTTACTGTGTCCAGTAGTATATTTTCCCTTTTAGTTAAATGGTTGGTAGCCGTGATTTTAAGAAGTTGACTCCCTTTTAAACCAAGCATGTCTGAATCTGGAATGCCTCTAGTTGCCGACTTCCCCGCAGTGGCTGAGCAGTGTCAAAGATGAGTTTGCTTGGGCCTTCTCACAGTTAAACGTGGTCACCACAAATGTCAGACTGTGTTGTGTTACACAGATCTGATCGGCATTTTGGAGTCAACCTGAAGGGAAAAGAAACTGCGTCTGAACAAAGTTACCTTTAGGTATCGTATGACTCTTCCTATAACAATCATATTCTAGAAAACTGATAGATGTGGCATACACGCCTTTCCACGCTGTCCTCCAGTGTGGCCACCTAACGGCTGACGTGCAGGTCTTCCCCCGGCCAGAGCCTTTTGTCGTAGATGAGGAAATCGATCCGATCCCTAAAGTCATTAACACAGGTAACTGTTTTTGCTTTTAAACTTCCTTCATACTTTTTTCTGTCATCTTTAACTTCTGACTGGTGCTTGCTTCTCTTTCCAGGAGAGTTGAAAAGAAATGTAGATTCTCTGGTACTCGCATGCTCTTGTGGGTATGCATTGGCCTGTTAACCATGAGGTCAGCAGTTTGAAGCCCCCAGCCACTCTTGGGAGAAAGATGAGACTTTTCTACTCCTACAGAGAAACCACAGAGGCAGTTTGCTCTTCCCTGCCCGGTAGGGCTGCCACAAGTCAGAATTGACTCTTGGCAGAGAGTGGGTGCGTTGGTTTGTTGTAGGGTGTGCTTGTGGTCAGTTCACACTCTGGAAATGGACAAGAGGTTTTGTGGTCTTTCTTGGTAAGGTCATGAGCCAGCCTCTCATCCATGTTAATGGTGACCACAAGTCACTAGCACTGAACATCGTGGCTAGATTCTCATTTGTAATCCAGCAAAACACTGAGATCCTTGAGGTAATTTTCAGAAGAGATACTGAGACAGATCGTAACCCTGATTATGGTCATCTAAGAAGGAATAGCTTCTAGGCTTGATTGTGTGGCTCTTGCTGTGTGAACCTGGGTACATTGCTTCCTCTCTCGCCCTCATTGGTATGAGGGAATCAGCTAGATGGTCCCTAACTCTGAGCTCTGTTACTTTGTGTTATGCTGGCTCCACTGTTTATATGAGGTCAGAGAAAGTGATGTTTGCGCTTGCGTTTGATGAGGTCACAGTGCCAGTATTTGCTGGGGGGGATTGGCAAAGCAAAGACTCAAGGGCAACAGGCATAGTGGAGAGGGGAGAGGACAGTTATTTCCAGCTTGTGGGTAGACTCTCTGAGATGAAGTCCTTAAACCTTGTGGGGATGTGAGTGAGCTCTGTTTCAGTCACCACTTGCAGCCTCAGTACCTAGAATACAAACTATAGGTTTGGTAAATTATTGTAAGTGCTCAATGAGTGGTCATTATCTTTGGGTACAGATTTTCAGGAGTTTTAAAGTGAAAAGCTGTGCACAGATTTTTTGTAAACATTTTTTGCCCCCTTGCTCAGAATCCTGGTGATACAGTGGTTAAAGCACTTGGCTGCAAGCCTAAAGGTCAGCCGTGTGAACTTAATAGCCAGCGCAGAAGAGAAGGTGCACAGCCCTGAAAGGAGCAGTTCTCCTGCAGAGTGGCTGTGACTTGGAATTGACTCCACTCAGCACCTGTGGGTTTCGGTGCGCTTCCTGGCTGCCTGGAAACAGACACCTCTCCTTCCGTTTTGACCAGACAGTAGTGTGTTAAACTGACTTAAAGGTTTTTGCCTTCAAATCAGTTAGGTTCCACTCCCTCCCATCCTCAAAAAGAAAGAAAAAGTGTTTCATGACATTCAAGAACAAATAATAATTTGGGCTGGCTAACCAATGTGTATTAATGTGCAGATAATGATTTGAAGTTAGCACAGACACTCCTGGAAAAAGAATGCTTCTGTGGCACATGGAAATACCTTCTCATATCACAGACACATTTTGTTCCCAGTCATTATGCCATCAGTATGCCGCAAGCAGCTTGTTCCACGATCACACGTACACATTTTGTTTGTGAAACGGAACACAAACACGAATTAATTTTGTGTTCATTCCCTCCTTTCAGATTTGGAAATAGTGGGATTTATTGATATAGCTGATATCTCCAGTCCCCCGGTTCTGTCCAGACATCTGGTTCTCCCGATAGCACTTAACAAAGGTGAGTTATCTTCCTCTGCCAGGGACACATAGGAAGCCTCTTACGAACTAAAAGGCGATCTGATTGATCTGCAATCACCCATTGGCATCTCTGGGCTTTGGTTGCAAGGGTTTGTTCAGCATCATTGACTCTAGGAAGTAAGGATTCCATGACAGTTGGAAATTCTTTTCCACATTTGCCCCTGACAGGCAGAATCTTGATATGTTCACACAGGTCATATATTGTGGTCATTGTGTTATACTTACCTTATCGATCTTAGGACAACCAGGATTGTTCTTTATCTCTAAGTCCTGGGGAAAGTCTGCAGGTCCATGTACGTCATCGACAAAGAGATTAGGCAGAATGGAAAGGAAATGCTGGGAAGCAGTGGGAAAAATACGACCGGGTGAGATGTGGCTGTTGGAAGCCACTGCAAACAGTGCTTTCTTTCTGCTGTGTTAGAAAGGCCTTGAATGAGCTGGAGCGGGCAGACGCATTTCGAGGAAGCTAACTGGGAAGGTTCCTCTCTCGGCAGCTCTGTGGGTGCACCTGGGGTTGGAGACTTCGGTGAGGAAGCTGGAGAGTGACCACTGCTGACCCTGGGACGGTGGGGTGCCCATTCACATTCTGCTGCAAGGTGTCGGTTGAGAACACTGATGGGTGTTTCAAACTGCCAACTAACATCTCTCTGACCATGCCAGGGGGTACTATGGAAAATGGATTTTTTTGTTTGTGAACAGCTATGTCAAGCTAGAATTCACCTACATACATGTCACCCATTTGTACTGTGCGATTCAGTGGTGTTAGTATGTTTTTTAGTATAGTACCATAGTTATACAATCATCACCCCAAAAGAGACACACCATGCCTTTGTCTTCTGATGGCCTTCCGCCCCGGCATCCGCTGATCTGCTTTCTGTGGTGTCTGCTCTGACCATTTCATGTAAGTGGACTAACACAGCATGTGGAAACGGACCCTTACACGGGCACTGGAAATTAGAATGTGAATGGTCTTCGTGACTGTATTCCCACAGCTCCATCCACTTTGCTCCCCGAGGTGAGAAATAGCAGACAGTGTCATCGTCGGTAGTTCTTGCGGGTTGCTGGAGCCGAATGAGTGTGACCCGTTTTCTTCTTCTTTTCACAGAAGGTGATGAGGTCGGAACTGGCATCACAGATGACAATGAAGATGAGAATTCAGCCAATCAGATTGCAGGCAAAATACCCAACTTTTGTGTCCTGCTCCATGGCAGCCTAAAAGTGGAAGGAATGGTGGCAATTGTTCAATTAGGGTAGGTGCTCGTCACTTGCTTGCTTTTCATGCCACCTTCTCCACCTCCCAGTCCCTTCTAATCTTCAGTCTAAATTAAGGTGACCAGATGTACCACTTTTGGCGGGACAGCCCCGATTTTTGGCGTTTTAAAAAAGTCTCGATTTTTGGAAAGAATGCATGACAAGCTAGGGAACAGTCTCTTTGGTCCATATAGACCAACTTTTTAATCAAGAAACACACACACACACACACACACCCGTCAATGGTGTCCCGCTTTAAATCTGGTCACCTTAGTCTAAATCACCCGCTAGAGTACGTGTGGCGTGCGCCTTCTTGGCACGAGTTGGCGGTTCTCCTCGTGCTTTTCACGGTGGCCGTGCGCAGCCTGCACTGGCTGTGGCTTGGGCCTTATCAGTTCCCCTCCCCCACTAGGGGCTTTTAGGCAGGACTCCTGCATCGTCTCTTCTGTAAAACGAGAGGCAAAGAGCATTTTGCCACGTGCCAGGCTTTCCTCCGGCGCTTTATATATTTTACCTCGTCCTGGCGCTCACGGCAGCATGGTACAGGAGACAGCGATGTCAGCCCCTCTTCCAGCTGAGGAGTCTGAGGCCGACCGAGGTTCAGTCACTGTTCACAGTTGCACAGCTAGGAAAAGGGAGAGCGGGGTTCTTTCCCATGCAGTCGGACCCCAGAGCCATGCTTTGAAGCACTCGGCTGGGTTTCTGTGAGCTTCTGCTCTTTGTTTCTCCATCTGTCAAACCTGTTATTAGAAACAAGGAGATGACTCGTCATCTTCTGGCCACCCACTCCTCTGAGGCTGGCCCAGAACCCGGGGGTGACTAGAATGGGATAGCAAGAGGTTAGGGTTAGTCAGCGGAAGCACAGCTACATTGCTGCTTGGTTCAAATTAGTGGCCCCAAAGGGAGAAGGAAACCCTTCTTATTAGATTTAGCCCACAGTGTTTCTTGCCACCAGACTTTTTGCATTGGTTCTGAATATTAGACTCACACAGGCCCCTTTGAGAACATGAGACAGAGCCTCTTGTAGAGACTGAGTGGTGGCCTTCTGCCCAGTGTTGGGGGTGTCTGTGTGGGTACTGCTGTGAATGACTCAGGGTGCACCTGAAAAGATTTACAGGTCCTGGCCCTTGATCCTCTTCGCCACCCTGATAGCTGCTTGCTGCCCTTTGTGATGTTTTGTTTTTTCTCTTTTAAGACTGTTTTGATGCCCAGGTATACATGATTTCACTTCATATGTAATAATAGGCCCCAGGGGGTGGTAATATTATGGGGCACCAGTATGCATTTTTAGGGTTAGGATCTGGCTGCACTGGCACTGGCACTCGCACTGAAGCCCAGGCCCCTAAGCAGAGCAGCACAGACTAGACTTGTGTAGCGTGATGGTCCCAGGCTTATGCTCTTCGGCTCTTCCATCTTCTCTCCCTTTAGTCCTGAATGGCATGGAATGCTCTACTCCCAGGCTGACAGCAAGAAGAAGTCAAACCTCATGATGTCGCTCTTTGAGCCTGGCCCAGAACCACTCCCATGGCTAGGGAAAATGGCACAGTTGGGACCCATTTCAGGTATAATCCCGATCAATTCTACTTGCCTCTCTGCTCTCTGGCTGTGCAGGTGGAGTGCTGGGTGACCTCCATGGCCAATGTGCTGTGGCCTCTAATGCTGACTGTGTACATAGAGGACCCCTAGAGAGTGGGCTGTTGGAGCTTTTTAACTCCCACAGCACTTAGGTTACTTAAAGTAAATGTAAATACTTCAGTTGAAAAGTTTTTCCTCTGGTGTATTATTTTCATCCCAAATGTCCTGTGGACATTCCTAAATCTTTTAAACTCCCTTCCTTGAACTCACAGGGGCATTTCTAACCTGCCCTACAGGGTTGCTGTGAGTCGATATCAACTCAATGGCATTGAATTTTCTTTAGTTTGTTCCTAGTTTTTCAGGATCCAACTGTAGAATTATTTGGACTCAGTTCAATTTCAAGAACATCTACCAAACAGCCTACTCTGTGCCAGGTCAGGGGATACAAGAGTGAATTGGGGTTGCCCAAAGTCTAGCAGCAAGTGGAATGATAAGCACAGGCTGGCACCAGACCCGCGTCGTCTGAAGAAGGAGGGGGTGATCAGCTCTGCTTGGAGGATTCGGAAGTCTTCACAGAGAAGGACAGCCTCGTTGGATTTTTAAAAAGAAGAACAACCAACAAAGACGAAGGGTCGTTCTGGGCAAATGAGGCCATGAAGGAAGGAACGGAGAAAGCTCAAAAAGTGTAAGGGGGCTGGTGGGATGGGGAGGTGGCAGTTAGAAGCAGGCAGTGTCTAGAGCAGGACAGGTCTCATCTGAAGTGTGAAAACTGACTGTTTATTCTGGAATACTAGGTAGATGGATTTTAATTCTAGGTGCCTGGTGCCCCCTGGAATTGTGTGATGTGACCATTATCAAAGTGAGAAAGAAGAATTTGCATTTAGAAAGATAACTCTGGATTGTGGGGTTGAAAGATCAAGACTAGGGGAAGGGCATTCTTCAGCTTGGAGGCTGCTGTGAGAGGTCCGGAGATGTAACGAGAGCCAGTCACCAGGGAAGTGGCTGGGCTGAGGAGGGGGAATCCATGTAAAGATAACAACTCAGGAGGGAGAATCAGTCATGAGTGCTTTAGAGAATAAAGGAGGGAAAAGTTGAAAATGAGCCCAGGTTTCCACCCTACGCTGTTGGGTCAAAGGGTGGTGCCCTAGTGGACATAGTGAACAAGGAAAGCTAGGTCTAGGAGAACAACTGGTTTGCGCGTGCTGAGTGTGTCGAGGAGGTAGCCGGTCCAGGTGCCAAGGGACAGTTTCTGCCAAACTCTGGAGTTCGGGAAATGGGAGAATTGAACACACCATCTTTAATTCTAAGCACATCTGTAAGCATTAAAATGACGAGAAAGGAAGCTTGTTTTTTTTGTGGCAGAGTTTTAAAATTGGAGTGTTTATGTTTGCTGGGCCCGGTCTAGAGAGAATCTGATGCAGTAGGTCTCGATTCAGGACCAGAAACTTGCAGTTTGTTTGTTTTTTAACTTGCAGTGTTAATATTGGCTCAAGTGGTTTCTGATCTAAATCATCTGTGACCATACTTTAAAGAGGAAGAGGGCCAAGGGCTATACCCCTGGGAAGCGCCAGCGTACGAGAGGGCGGTGAAAAGAGCACTATCAAAGAAACTGCCAAGAAGAATCAGGTGGAAGCAGAAGAACATAGGGAAATGGCATCGCAGAAGCCCAGAGTGGCCTCAGGAAGGAAGGGAGGGCCTGTGAAGCTCCACACCACGCAAGTCCGCGCCAGTCTGAGCCTTCTCTGCTACAGAGGCCTCCTCAAGGTTCTGACTGAGAATGGGCCCTAGAGTCTAGATCAGGGCTTCACAAACTCTCAGTAAAGGATCAGGTAGTAAACATTTTAGGCTCTGTGCGACATAGGTTAAAACATTCAGCTCTGCCATTGTTAAACTCTGCCTTTGTTAAAACATTCAACTCTGCCATTGCAGCATGAAAGCGGCCAGCGTTTCTCTGTTCCAATTACCCAGTCCCTATGACTCCTCAGGATCGCACCAGCGGTGTGCTTCTTCCATGTGGACGTGTTGCTTCTCTGCTGAATGGTGGCTTGTCTAACTGCTTTTAGAGATGGCCGGTTTCTTGTAGAATTAACTTTTTTTTGTTGTTTCTTTTGGCAATTACTTTCCTTTGTACATAACAAGTATATTGCTGTATCTTGGTTTCAATTTTTTAAATCATTTTATTGGGGCTCATACAACTCTTATCACAATCCATACATATATCCATTGTGTCAAGCACATTTGTATATTTGTTGCCATCATCATTCTCAAAACATTTGCTTTTTGCTTGAGCCCTTGCTATCAGCTCCTCATTTTTCCCCTCCCCCCTCCCTCATGAACCCTTGATAATTTATAAATTATTATTTTGTCATGTCTTACAGTGTCCAACGTCTCCCTTCACCCACTTTTCTGTTGTCCATCCCCCAGGGAGAAGGTTATATGTAGATCTTTGTAATCGGTTCCTCCTTTCCACCCCACCCTCCCAGTATTCTCACTCTCAGCACTGGTCCTAAAGGTATCATCTATCCTGTATTCCCTGTGTTTCCAGTTTCTGTCTGTACCAGTGTACATCCTCTGGTCTAGCCAGATTTGTAAGGTAGAATTGGGATCATGGATAGTCTAGAGGGGAGGAGGCATTTGGGAACTAGTGGAAAGTTGTACTCTGACTGGCTCGTCTCCTCCCCGCGACCCTTCTGTAAAGGGATGTCCAGGTGCCTACAGATAGGTCTTGGGTCCCCAATCTGCACTCCTCCCTCATTCACAATGATTTGATTTGTTGTTCTTTGATGCCTGATACCTGATCCCTTCAACACCTTGTGATCACACAGGCTGGTGTGCTTCTTCCATATGGGTTTTGTTGCTTCTCAGATAGATGACCATTTATTTACCTTCAAGCCTTTAAGACCCAGATGCTATATCTTTTGATAGCTGGGCACCATCAGCTTTCTTCACCACATTTGCTTAAACACCCATTTGTCCTAAGCTATCCTATCGGGAAGGTAAGCACACAGTGATATGATTTTTTGTTCTTTGATGCCTGATAACTGATCCCTTCAGCACCTCGTGATCACACAGGCTGTTGTGCTTCTTCCATGTGGGCTTTGTTGCTTCTCAGCTAGATGGCTGCTTGTTTACCAGTTTCATTTTTTTAATTTGTGTATTTAAATATTATCATCTTCTCTTTCTCTTACCACAACATCCCACCCCCAGCTCACAAGCACATTTCCCATACCCTCTGCTTCCCAGCTAGTGTGGTGCTAATGCCTGTCTTGGGAGTCCGATGATGTTAGCTTCACTGACACCTGGACCACATAGTATACACAATGTGCATTTCTTTTCTGTGCACTGTAGTTTCCCCTGTAGTTACAACTTTGCTCCCACCACCCAGCCACCCCTTATTTGTTTTCTATGTACTTATCCCAAGCACTGTGAATCAAAAGACAAGGGCTCTGAAAACATTTGTAGAAAATTCTATTACCTTTTAATCCCATTGTTCCACAAACTTTTTGAAGCTCCACTCCTTGCCCCCTAGTACATTCATGAGATATTTTGTCAGTTTCCTCCCACCCACCACCCACCCCTTTGGTGCCACTTCCCATCCTCCTATGTCGTTGACAGACCAGTGGTGCTCCAGGCGTGTTGCTTAGCTATCCTGACTCTCCTTCATCTGGCTCCTATGACTCCTGTTTCATGTTCCTTCTGGGGAAAAGATCTATAGGAAGTAGATATTTTGAAATCTTGTGTCCTTTAGAAATGTCTTTGTTTTATCCTTTACACATGATTGGCAGTTTAATTGAATATAGAGTTCCAGATTGGGACTCCTTTTGACTCAAAATTTTGAACCTTTCTCTTGTTATCTCTTCTGGCTTCCAGTCCTGCTACTGAGAGCCTAGTGCCATGCCAAGTTCCAGGCCTTTGACCCTGACCTGGTTTTTTTCTGTCCAACCTGAGAATTGTCTTTGTACCCCTGGTGGTTTGAATGTCAGAAGTTGTTAGTTGTTCCTGGGTTCTCCATTCCATGTGTTGGCAACCCATGTCTTCTCCCCTTGGAACATACATTCTTTCTTTGATTTTTTTCCCCTTTTATTTTCTGTTCTTTTATAGAACCTCTGTTTTGCTCTATGTGTGTGTATCTTTCTTAACTTTAGCTATTTTTTCATCTTTATCTTTTCTGTCTTCTGGGCAGTGTCGTCGCGTTTACAACAGTTTGATTTTTATTTCTGCTAGCATATTTCACTACCACTCCTCTGTCCTTTTGTCGAACCGTGGCAGCTCACTTGGTGCTGTGGTGCTAGAAGCTGTGCCACTGAGATTTCAAATACCAGCACACAGTCACCGTGGTGAGCCAGTTTCAGTGGAGCCTCTAGACTAAGCACAGAGTAGGAAGAAGGAATAGTTTGTGCATTTCTGAGTGTTTAGCCACCAAAAACCTTTTGAAACGCAGTGAACCATTGTGCTAGGAAATCAGCCCCTCAGATTGGAAGGGACTCATTACAGCTGAGAAAGAACTGCCTCTTCAGAGTAGAGTCAAGTTTAATGCTGTTGATGGAGCAAAGCTTTTGTTGATGGGACAAGATACAAAGTGAGAAGAAACTGTTGCAAACATTAATACCCAGAAAATGGAATACATGAAGCATTAGTCTAGGAAAATTGGAAGTCATCAAGAATAAAATGCAACCCTTAAAGATTGAAATCCTAGGCATTAGTAACTGACATAGATTGGTATTGGCCATTTTGAATGAGACGTTTGCCTGGCTCACAATCTTGGAAATAGTATTCAAGAGGAATGGCATAGCATTCATCATCAAAAAGAACATTTCAAGATCGATCTTGAAGTGCCATGCTGTGACAGAATAATATTTATATGCCTATAAGAAACAACGGTTAATAGTATAAATTCAAGTTTATACTCAAGCCACTAAATCCAGAACTCACTGCCATCAAGTCAGTGCTGACTCAGCAACACTGTAGGGCAGGTTAGAACTGCCCTGGTGAGTTTCCAAGATTAACTCTTTACGGAGTAGAAAGCCCTGTCATTCTTCCACGGAGCAGCTGATATTTTTGAACCACTAACCTTGCAGATCACAGCCCAACTCTCAAACACTGGACCACCAGAGCTCCCCTAACCACTAAAGCCAGTGGATAAAGAAACTGAAGAATTCCACCAGTCTGACATTGATCAAACATACAACCAAGATATATTTGGTAAATTACTAGATATTAGAATGTAAAAGGTAGAAGCAAAGAAGTAGGATCAATAGTTAGAAAACATGACCTTGGTGATAGATATGAAGCTAAAAATCCCATGATTGATTTTTGTAAGACCAACAACATCTTTCTTGCAAATGGCAACTATACATGTGGACCTCACCAGATGGAATACGCAGGAATCAAATTGACTGCATCTGTGGGAAACGATGGAGAAGCTCAATATCATTAGCCGAAACAAGGCCAGGGACTGGCTGGAGCAGACCATCAATTGCTCATATTCACGTTCAGGTTGAAACTGAAGAAAATTAAAACAAGTTCACAAAAGTCAAAATAGGTCCTTGATCGTATACCACCTGAGTTGAGAGACTGTCTTAAAAACCGATTTAACACATTGAAAACTAATGAGTGAAGACTGGATCAGTTTGGAGATTACATTAAGAACATCAGACGTGAAGAAAAAGATAGGAAAGGAATAAAAACTGAATTGAATAGCAAAAGAGACTCTGAAACTTGCTGGTGATCCTAGAGCAGCCGAAGCAATGGGAGGAACCATGAAGTAGA